CCCAAGATACATGCTGGCAATCCTACTCCAAGTTTATGCCCCCCCCATATACATCTGAAGGGTCTCATGACTGAGTTTTGTTGTTGTTGTTGTTGTTGTTTACAAAAGGTAATAAATGGCGTTTCCCTAGCAACAGCTAGCCCCTCAAGGTCCCGGAAACCTTGCTTCCAGGATTCCTTTAGTGATGTACTATCTCTGACCCCCTCCCCAACCTGAGGGTAAATAATGAGTTACCCCTCACTTCACGACCCCAGTGCAGCTCTTCCTGCCCACGGGTCTTGTCCCGGTGCTTTAATAAAATCACCTTTTTGCACCAAAGACGTCTTTAAGGATTCTTTCTTGGCTGTCAGACACTTAACCGACTGAGCCACCCAGGCACCCCGCTTCCCCAGCCTTAGCCACTGACTGGCTCTGTTTGCCAGTCTCAAGGCACCCCCACGTGACTTATGGGTTCAGAACGCAAATTTGACCGTTCCCTCCCCCCTGCTTCTTTACTCTTTCCACAAATATTTATTGATGCCCTACTTTGTGCCAGGCACAGTAGCAAGGACTGCAGTATGGGAGTGAACAAAATGGACAAAAATCCCTGTCCTTATGGATCTGACCTAAACAAAATAAATAAGTCAAATATTTAGCAGGTCGGGTGGTTACATGGGCTCCGAAGAAAAATAAAGCAGGAAAGGCAGATATGGTGGGTAGTGTGTGAGGGGTGTGTGTGTGTGTGTGTGTGTGTAAGGGGTTAAGTTTAATTTGGTGCCACCGAGAGCAAGGACCTGAAGAATGTGAGGACGTCCAGACATATCAGGGGAAAGAACATTCCAGGCATACATTCTCTCTACTCTCTCTCTTTGCTTCTCTCCTTCCAGCACGCAAGCTTCCTGTGTTTTCTTCTGGCCACAGAGATTTTGTGTACAATATTCCCTCTGGCTGGAACACCAATACCATTTCCACTTCTCTCATGTATCCCCTTTAGTGCTTTCTCGTACTTCCTGTCTCTATTCAAACCTCATTTCCTCCACAAAGGCTTTTCTGACCACTCCACACCCCGTTGTCAACAGCCCATTTTCTGTATGTAGCCCCTATGGTTTCCAGAATTTTTCCCTCACAGCACTTGTCATACTAGTAACCATATATTCCCTTGTAGGTTTAACCTTTGTTCTTTGAGGACAGGAACAGGGGCTGTCTTGGCCACCTTTGTGTTTCCAGGCCCTAGCACAGTAGAGGCCCCATTTCTATTTGTTGAATAATCACACAAAAGCTGCTAGCATTTACTGAATGCTTAGTATGAGCTAAACCCAGTTTTAACTGCCTTATGTGGGTTTATTTAAGCATCATCTACATTGTAGATAATCTAATTGTTCCTACTTTGCAGGTGAGAAGTTAATTTGACCAAGGTCACACAGCTAATAGACAGCGGAGCCAGGATTTGGACCCGGGCATTCTGATTCCAGAGTCCACACCTTAGCCGACAAGCCACAGTGCCTTTGCATTACTGCCTGATGGCAAACAGTAGGCGGGCACTAAATGGGAGGAGTTATTTCTCCCCAGAAAAATCTAGGGCACAGCAGGGACTTTACAGATGCATGTTTTGTCTCGTGCAGCGAAGACATTCCTTAATCGTGGGGTCTGTAGGGGTCCCCAATTTTCCTGTCATTTCCTTTCGACTATTTGCTAGATGAACTACGTAGATGCAGAGAGACCAAACAGTAATGAATGGGATCGATTATCTCGGTTCTCTCCCTTCATGTTTTGTTCTTGGCACTCTGCGATCCTCAGCGACGCCTCCGACACCTCCTCTCCCCGGGTCCGCCCCGCTCCGTCCCCGCATTGCAGTGCGCACGCGCCTTATCCCCCGCCCCAGTAGAGTGACGGGCGGCTTCAGCCAATGGCGTCGTGAGAAAGGTGGAGCGGCACCTCGTGGACTCCCTACGGATCCCGGTCTCTGAATATTTATGAGGGAAGCGGGCTAACGCCGCTTCTTGCCGAGGCCGGCGCCATGAAGTGAGAGCGGGGTCGGGGTTCGCTGCTCGCCGGGGTCTAAAAGATGGGGGGGACCAGTGGGTGCGCCCGGGGCCCGGGCGGGGCGCGGGGGTGCGGGAGGAGTGGGGTGAAGTTAGTCGCGGGGACCCACGGGGCGGTAACGAGGACGGTCAGCGAGGAGATGCCGAAGGGACCCGCGGGTCCTGGGGAAGCGGGGGATGCTCGGGGGGACCGGCTCCCGGCAGGTAACTCCTCTCGGCCGGACGACAGGGGAGTGCGGGGGCTGGAGAGGGGCCCAGGGGGCGGGGGACTGACCCTGCCCCCCAACCCCCCGCCGCCAGGCTCAACGTGGACGGGCTGCTGGTCTACTTCCCCTACGACTACATCTACCCGGAGCAGTTCTCTTACATGCTGGAGCTCAAACGCACACTGGACGCCAAGGTGGGGGGGCCCGGCCCTCGGCTTCCCACCTGACAAGTGGGACGGCCACGCGTGCCTCTAAGACTGAACTTTCTGGACGTCTAGGTTTTAGGAATCTGAGGTCCTGAGGAGGCCAGCGCTCCCCAAACTCCTGGCATCTAAAATAATAGTTCATAAAAGCAGCACCTAACATTTATCAGAGGCTGCGCTGCTTTAGAGCCGGCTCTCGGGTGGGAAGCCTGGACCCACAGCCGTGTGCAGTTGGGTGAATCACTTAATCTCCCTGTTGCACGCTTTTCACGTGTGTGAAATGGGCTTCGTTAAGACTGCCTACCCTCAGAGGTTAGTGTGCAGGTTGTTAGGAGTTAATTCGGTAAGTAAGGCAGCAGTTCTTAACTGGGGATGATTTTGACCCCCCGAGGCAGTGTCCGGAGACATTCCTGGTTGTCCTACTAGTGGAGGGGGGCGGGTGCTACCGGCATCTAGCAGGTAGAGGCCATGGACTCTGCTAAACGTCTTGTAGTGCGTAGGACAGGCCCCCTCACCCCACAGCCAAGTAGTATCTGACCCCCAGATGTCCAGAGAGCCTAGGTTGAGAGATTCTGATGGAAGACCCTTAGAAGCAGTGCCAAGGGCTCCTGGGTGGCTCAGTTGGTTGAACTTTCCACTTTGGCTCAGGTGGTGATCTCCGGACTCCTGATTTCTAGCCTCGCATCTGCTCGCTGCTGTCAGCATGGAGCCTGCTTTGGATCCTCTGTCCCCCTTTCTCTCTGCCCCTTTCCCCCTTTGTGCGAGCATGCGCGCGCTTGTTCTCTGTCTCTCTCTCAAAAATAAATAAACGTTAAAAAAAAAAAGTAGTGTCAGGCACAGAGTAAGTGCTGTAAAAGGGTTTGCTAAATTAAAAGAAAAGGCAGGTCACTACCTGTTACCATGCTAAATGTATAACCCTCAGTTTCTCATTAGTCCTCACAGTAATTCTGTAAGGAAGTGCTTAGTAGGCCCATTTTATTTATTTACTTATTTAAAAAAAATTTTTTTTTAACGTTTATTTATTTTTGAGACAGAGACAGAGCATGAACGGGGGAGGGTCAGAGAGAGGGAGACACAGAAGTGGAAACAGGCTCCAGGTTCTGAGCTGTCAGCACAGAGCCTGACTCGGGGCTCGAACTCACGGACCACAAGATCATGACCTGAGCCGACGTCGGCCGCTTAACCGACTGAGCCACCCAGGCGCCCCTATTTACTTATTTTTAAAAATTTTATTTGCTTTTTAAAGTAATCTCTATACCCAGTGTGGGGCTCAGACTCACAACCCCGAGATCAAGAGTCTCATGCTATTCCGACTGAGCCGGCCAGGCGCCCCTGGCCTGTTTTAGAGATGAGAATACCAAGGTCAGATGGGTGAAGGCACTTGCTATGACCACTCAACAACAAAGAGGTGGCCAAAGTGGGGTTCAAACCCACTGTCCCTGGGGCCTAGACTTTTAACTGCTGTTGTCCCTCTTATTTCAAGATGGTGGCATTCTGGGGGCAGTCCCCAGAGTTTGTGTCCCTGAAGTTCCGTCTGTCTCCACATGCAGGGTCATGGAGTCCTGGAGATGCCCTCAGGCACTGGGAAGACTGTGTCCCTGTTGGCCCTGATCATGGCATACCAGAGGGTAAGTGACCCCTGGGCCCGTGGAGGGGGAGGCAGAGGGAAGGCATCCAGCAGGGGCTGAGCCCGTTGTCATCATCGGCAGGCATATCCACTGGAGGTGACTAAACTCATCTACTGCTCGAGGACTGTGCCTGAGATTGAGAAGGTGAGCCAGGGCCAATCCCCGGCCAAGGCCAAGTTCCGTAGGATTTGTTGGTCCCTCCGGTGGTTGCTTCTGTAGCTGGGGGGTGTTGAGTTTGAGAGGCTGGGGGAGGGGCGGGGCCAGGCTGGGCACAGACTTGTGCTGGAGTCCTCCCTCCCTCCCTCCTTCACGGGAACAGGTGATCGAAGAGCTTCGAAAGTTGCTCCATTTCTATGAGAAGCAGGAGGGTGAGAAGCTGCCGTTTTTGGGGCTGGCTCTGAGCTCCCGGAAGAACCTGTGCATTCATCCCGAGGTGAGTGCCCTTTTCTCCCCTTTCCCCACGCCTCAGGGTTAGACCGCCATCCAACCAGGAATCCTAGATCCCTCGACCATACCTCTCAGGGTGATAGGCAGGAACCACACGCAGAATTCCCTCCTCACTCGTCAAACTCTGAGTCCTCATTCGCGGCCCAAACACACATCCTCCCTAGCCTGAGAGAGGTTAAAAAAGGCACTTCCTGGAATCCAGCAGGCCTGGTTTCCTGGCTCTGAAACTTAATAGTCCTGTATTCTCGGATAGGTGGTTTCTATAGTCAGACTTCAGTCTTCCTTTCTGTAAAATGGGGGTAATTAGTTACCTGCTTCATATAGCTGTTGATAAGATTGGGCGAGGGGGTAGGGGGGTGGGTGAAATGGGCGAAGGGGGTCAGAATGTACAAACTTCCAGTTATAAAACACATAGGTCACGGGGTTGTAACGTATAGCATGTTGACTACAGTAAATAATACTGTATCATATATTTGAAGGTTGCCGAGAGAGTAGATCTTAAAAATTCTCATCGTAAGAAAAAATTGTGGGGTGCCTGGCTGGGTCGCTCAGTGGAGCATGCGACTCTTGATCTCCGGGGTCGTAAGTTTCAAGCCCCGCATTGGGCATAGAGCTTCCTTTAAAAAAAAAAAAAAGAAAAGAAAAGGAAAAGAATTGTAACTATGTGGTGACAGATATTAGCTGACTTATTGTGGTGGTCATTTTGCAGTATATACAGGCATCGAGTCCTTACATTGTACAGCCTGAAACATAGTGTTGTATGTCCATTACATCTCAATAATTAAAAAAAGATTAAGGGGTGCCTGGGTGGTTCAGTCGGTTAAACTCAGGTTATGATCTCACAGTTCGTGGGTTCGAGCCCCGCGTCGGGCTCTGTGCTGACCGCTCAGAGCCTGGAGCCTGCGTCAGATTCTGTGTCTTCCCTCTCTGCCCCTCCCGGCACTGTGTCTCTGAAAAATGAATAAATGTTACACATAAATAACTGACCGAGCGAGGTAATGTACGTATAGCCCTTAGCGTGTGCAAAAATCTAAAACATGACAAGTGACCATGCTATTTATATAATAATCTGTGACACGTAGAATATTACTTATTGTTAAGTTACGTTACAAAACCATCGGGGCTCATGGCCAAGCAGTGTTCTAAGCACTTTACGTGTGGTAAACGCGTGGAATATATATCATGACATTATTTGTGAGAACACGAGACATGATAGATGAGGTGGGTGATCATTAGAAG